TTTCGCCTATCGTTTTGATAATTCAACTAGTTACCGGAGTCCGGCAAATGAGTTTGTAAAACATTAACTCGAACGAGGTATCTGATACCGATAATATTAGCATACTGGAGGTGATTTAAGTTGTTGTTGGTTACACTACATCGAAAAAGTATACTTTAACGTCAATAATTACGAATCGCTCCGCTCTCCACTTTTCCTGGTTACACCAAAGTTTCAACCCTTTCCCGAAGTTCAACCCTCCTGCCCCTCCTTCTCGCTGCGTGTACATTTTATGAGAGAAAAGCGTCGCGATCGATCTGCAAGAGTCGAGTCTACGCAAAGAAGGAAAACCTGACAAAAGAATAAGAAGAAGAAGGAGCGGTAGGTGGAAGGGTAGGGAAACCCCGACGAGGTGGTGGAGGAGGACGACTGCAGTGGCGTTGTCACGTTGCCGGGACTCGTGCTCTCTCTTCATGTACACGGTGCAGTGTATACGTGTATATATATATATATATATGTGTACGTGTTGTAGCGTTTCTTCGACTTTCACCGTGTCCGCGACGCGGAATCGATGCGAAACTTCCGCGTTGCTGGTTTCTTTCTTTCTCTCTCTCCACCGTGTCTCGCTATTTCTTCCTTTCGTTTTTTTTTTTTTATTATTATTTTTTTTTTTATTACTTGAATGATGTTTTGATTTTCAGGGATTTTTTACTTGTATGTTTACCACTTACTTTGTGCTCGCTGGGGGGGGGGACTCGGTTCAAGTTTGAATGCGAATGGAGATCAGATTCGAGTGATCGTAAATTTAACGCAAAGAAATCATAATGCTCGGGGCACTCATAATGTAAGTATGGGATGGTTGGGCTGAAATTTGTGTATGTACTCGGAGAGAGGCAACTGTTTGGCTTGTTTATACTAGACATCCTTGGTTTACTTTTTTCATGATCTGGAAAATACTTGGAGGTATCTATGTGAAAACGCGTTATATCGTTTAAAAGGAAAGAATTTCATAAGCACGGGTGTTTGTGAACAACAATTAAAAATTCATCAAAAATGAAGTGTGTACATATATACCTCATTGACATTTACTCTGCATCATGAGTTTTTTTTTTTTTTTTACAAATTTCCACAACATTGATTTTTCCAAACTTTTTGCAAAGCCGTGAATTTTCACTTTTCAAACATCTTGCACATTTTTTAAGTTAATATCAACAATTTTGGCTGTACAAGTATATTTTTTGAAGGGAGGAGCCACCCTCAGTACATATTAGACGAATGGCCGTGAAAATTAGACATAAAATTTTGTGGTGTCGAAAAATGCAGTCACATTGAACAAACAAAGTGAAAAAAAGGATACATAAATACACAGTTGCAAGTTTCAATATCTGATTTGAGCTTCGTGTCTCTGTGGCTCGAAAAAAAAAATGTAAAAATTGAGCAACGACCCACAGTGCGACAAACGTTCCCAAACGTCGCACTCGCGCGTCTCACCTCGTTCCCTTTTATCCGAGAAAACAAGGAAAAGAGCTGCTCTCGCCGGAAAACAGTAGATCAACGACGAATCACGATACGCTGACTTCCCGAATCGAATCGTCTCCCCCATCACCATAATCGGAGAGCACGTTGACCAGCTCTGACCTGACCTGCGACAATACATTATCGAGCTGTGATATGCATGTATACATTTTTTTCTCCCGACAGTACTTCCGTCGATCTCGTTGTTCTCCTCATATACATAGATATACCCGGAAGGAAAAATACCCTGCAATCGAGGCACGTGGAAAATTATACGTACGTAGTATCGACTCGATTGATAAACGGACACGTTTGAATAGCAAATTCATTGTACATGACGGTACTTCTCAATAGGTGCTGTCGCCTTTGAGGATAAACATATCATATGAACCACGAGTGGTGCGTCCGACCGAGTTCGACTGTTTCTACTGGGACTCATCGGACGCTTGCGTAATACGTATCCACAAGCATGTACCTACCATATATTTGCGCACCTGTAACGTCCAATGATCATAAACAACCACAAAAAAAAGAAAAAAAAAAAAAAACAATCTGCGCCTTGTGAAATTACGCACGGCACCTTATCTAAAAGATGCCTCTTAGCTCCCTGCACCGGTATATGCAAGACGCATCAGACATGACGAATAATTATCCCATCACGAGTAATGCGTAGCCACGACATAACGACAAATAAATCCTTTTATTTACTAGACGTACCTGATACACAACAGCATCGTCGGTTAATGCTCGGGTAAGTTTGCAATGGTATTCCACGTCTGTGCGTATAATATACATGGTATATACCTTTGCGCAGCAGAGGTAGGTACTTTTCAGTAGCCAGTGCAATTAATTTCTCTTCAATCGCAACTTATTTCCCTCGTCTCTTAATTAACGAGCGACGTCGCCCTTTCGCCAGTTTCCCCAGTATATACGGAAAATTCAGAGAAAAGCCCGATATCGCGCTTTGCCCGGGTAACTTTCCATCTTGGCCTTTTTCTTGCGCAACATTGGAAATTTTACCCGTTCCGCGCCCTATTTCTTTTTTTTTTTTGTTTCCCGATGATCTGCAGGTATAAGGGAGGAAAAAAAAGCTCACGCGCCACCTGTCCTCCTCTTTTTTGTTGGTTCATGCGTTAACGCGTCGTCGAATCAACAGCTGCGCTTAGTCTCGATCAAATTGCCGCCTTTACGTAACCAAACAACTTTCTAACGGGGGGCTGTCAAAAATAAACTGCGCGGGAGAGAAGGGGCCTTGGAAATCTGTCACGCATCGAAACTATATATATATATATTTTTTTCCTCCAAGTACTTAACACTTCGGTGATAAGATTGGGTTCTTTTTGCTACTTGGCGGCAAACCAACCAACTTTTTGATCCACGTGAGCCTAATGTATACTTACCTACGTGTTTTCGAGCGATTGACTGATACGTGGAAAAATCGTTTTCATAACTGTGCGTGTTACGTGCGAATTTCCACAAAAAATTCTAAACAGAGGGGCGAGAAAAACGTACAGAGCACAGAGAGAAAGGGATTATAATGGATTTGAAGATGCAAAAATGGCTTCCTGATAACACAGGAATGAAAAAAAAGAAAGAAAAAAAAAAACAGACATCAGGGAGATTTTTTTCATTCTCACGTAGACACCCGAAAACACATCACGCAACGATTTGGAGACAAAAATAACGCGGGGTGCGCGAAATGGGCCGTCTTAATATAATTAGGAGGAGAGTTTACAATGGCATTGTCAACGATGTCCAAAAATAAGACGGTCGTCTCGAGCACCTGTAAATATACACCAATTGTGAATAATATACACCCGATGAGAAGAGAAGAATAAGCAGCGCTCGTTCCGCTCAATTTCACACAAAAGGGACGGCACCCTTATACCAGCGAGGGATGAAATCGCTACATGTATATAATACACAACAAGCCGCTCTATATATACAGAGAGGGAGAGTAGGCGGTTAGCTGGTGCGAGGGACACGTGAGCGAGAAACGTGCCCGCGAGCGCACGTGGACCCACTGGGCGCTGTAGTATTATAGATAGAGAGAGCTTTGCAAGCTCGGCTTGTCCCTCTTTCTCCTCTTCCGCCCGCGAGGTACAGTTGTGTGTGCGTCGCTCCCGCCCCCTCAGTCAGTCGGGACGCGGTAGCCACCCTCCTCTTGCACCCACACAACAGCTACCGTTGCTGCACGGCCCAAGGGGGAGGTGGCCCGCGACGACGGAAGCGGAGGAAATCGGAGTGGCCTCAGTCCTCGCGCGAACCCGGCCTCGCGTCGGTATCGTAGCTTTATCGGCGCTTACGAGCTTCCGCCTCCGTCGAAGGAACCGATTTTTTCGATTTTACCCCCATATACATATATATCTCTTTGTATCTGCCCTTGTCTTTCGTTTCTCTTTATTTTGTCCTCCCTCGACTTTGACGGAGCTTGCGCTTTGCTTGCGCTTTGAAAATTGTCGTGGCAAGTTTGCACCACGGCGTACGCAACGGTGTAACGTCGACGCTCGAGAAAACGTAATTTCACGGAGAGCCCCGTTATTAGTGCCTGGACGTATCAGTCTACCTTTATTTATCCTCATTATTTCTTTGTCTTTCTGTTGGTCTGTCCTGTCTATGCATCTGCTGTTTGAAGAGAAGAAAAAAAAAAAAAAAAAAAAAGCACACGCTTTGTCTGTTTTTTTTTTTTTTCTCTTCAACCAGCAACATCGTGTTGTAGCTACAACAATGATGCGCTTGCTTTGTATAAAAAGAAATTATGTCGCTCGATAGTCTTTTTTTTAATTTCTTTTAATAAACGTATAATCGATCGATTAATTACTGTTTAATGTACGAAAGAGCCGATAGCTCGATGCCTCGCGACTCGTTCGGGACTCCAAGTTTTCGGAGACAGTCTTTGACCATCAGACATTTGTACTGATATCGTTGCAATTTTTGTTATTCCATTGATCTGTTTTGAATCGCTTATTTGCTTTTAACTGTTACATTTTTTTTGTATAAACGAGCGATGAGTAGAAAAAAAAAAACAGCCGAGTTTCTGCTAATAATTTCTTTTTAGATCCCATGTACCTCGTCCATTAAGATACATCGTTATTCTCCGCGGCGCGCGACGACTATCGACTCGACTACTGGAGATCGCGATACGATACCGATACTGTGTACGGAAGACCCAATAAACTTATCACATCGACAATTAACAATTGCGGGTTTTTCGATGATACGTGACGTGATGTGCGGTAAATGATCATCCACGAGTGCCCAAGAGATCATCCGAATCAAGACTCGACAATGCACCCGAGGTGTACCGTGAACATATTAGAGTATATCGTTTGTGGATAAAACAAGAATCGGTTGGATAGAATCAAAGGAAGCAAAAGCAAAAAAAGTCCTTCCATCCAAAAGCCGAAGATAACATTCGTGGCTACTGGACAACACAGCATGGCCAGCGAGGAGGTGGACGGTATGTCGGTGCCGTCGGTGAACGAGGCTTACTGGCACCACCAGCAGCAGCTGCAAGCCCAGCAACACGAGCACCAACGCCAGCAGCAACAGCAACAAGCGCACTACGCCTGGGGCATGAATGGCCACCCTCACCACCATCCTGGCCATCATCACCATCAGCAACACCATCAGCAGCAATACCAGTCCCATTCCCAGCATCACCACAACCAGCAGCAATTGCAGCACTACTCGCTGGGTGCCACGAGTGCCGAGGACGGTGCGGCTCAGCAGCATTACGCTCATCAACAGCAGCAAGAGCACAATGTACCGTTGCAGAACAACGGCAACGGACAGGCCCCAGCCACGCAACAACAGCACCACCACCACCACCACCACCATCCGCATCATGCGGTGCAGTACCACCATCCACATCTACACCGCGTCCGGCACTACAGCTCCCAGCAGATGCAGCATCCAGGTAGGACGACCCGTACGCGACCACTTTGGTACACGTATACATGACTCATTTTTCCACGCCACCTTGAGGTCGTGAATCGGGGTGTATACGAGTACCGCGAAGATATGAAAAAAGACACCCCTCCCGACGCACTCAATATTCCGTGTCAATTATGGCGAGTGAAATGTGCCAAAACGTCGGGCTGGAGAGCCTTTTCTAATAAAATCAAGTACCCGTACCTGCGTCGCCTCTTTTCCCTCTTCCCCCCGAGAGGATTGCACAAGTCCCCCGGTCATCTGGGAATACGCCGATCAACGGGCATCACGATAATGGCATGTATATATAGGTAATGAGCCAACGCCGCAGCTTCGAATTCATACCCGTGAAACAACGTCGCGTGTGTCCCGTCTTGCTGGATATTTTTTTTTTTCTCCAAAGGGGACGCCGGGCTCGTGTATACCATCGATTCGTCCACCCCCACTTGAGAATATACCGTCGTAAAAAACCAAAAAAAAAAAAAAAAAAAAAAATAAGGGGGAGGCAATCGTGGTAATGAAAAGGTATCTCTGTCGCTTTTCTCCCCCCAAAAGGGGAGATTTTTTCCATAACCCGGGGTATAAATTTCCCAACGTGTCGCGTCTGGGAGATGGAGCGAGCATCGGCAACAGATTTGCCAGTGAATTATTCATAGGTCGCGTCTACGGACGATTTGTGCGTTCCGTTGGAGTTAGAGTTGCGTCGTCGCGGGTATGATGGAAATGCAACGAGATTCGCTCGGATTGCCCCGTGTAAATGCAAAGAAAGGCTTGTGTTTTTTTTTTTTTTTCTTCTTCTTCCTGCGCATCGAAGCTTAAGTGTGAATTGTTGGGACTGTATAAATATTTACAATATACTATTGTATTTAGCGATATGTAACAAAAAAAAAGGCTCCCACTCACACCGAAATATAAACCCGTTGCGGAGGAACTGGCCGTGGAACCTTTGGGCAAATAGAGCGTCGGGAGCTCGTGCACAAGAAAGACACACGTAATTCGAAAACAATATCATCTCATATTTCTCGTCGTCTCGAGTATACAGGGGAGGTCCCGACGCCTCGTAAAAATGTACAAAACGACCAATGCACTTAAGCCGAGGCTATGCATTTCAGGCGGATTAATCAAACCTGGAAAGGAGGAGGGAGGGGGTATATGTACATGTTTTCCGTTTTAGCGGAAAATATTCTCGCGATGTATGCATACACCGAGACGCAGCCCCTTGCATTTTTATGGCTAAATCAGGACCGTATGCCGAAGTAGGTATGCGAGCGTTGTTGCGCAATCGGAACCGCGGTAATATCCCTATATCCCGAGGAGGAAGGAATTTTCCTTCTCCCGCTGTATACATGCCGAGCTACTTATAAAAGCATCGTTTATCTATACCTATTGTTACGCTGGACAAAATAATAACTCGACAGATCTACTTGTATTGAAATAATAAAATAAAATAAAATGAAAAAAATAACTTTTCTACACAGTTCTCCGTTAGCGCTTTGGAGAATCGGTAACAAACTCGCACGATGTACCTGTACATATATATATATATATATATATATATATGTATAATTTATGTTTCATATAGTAAACTTGTAATCGTAGTTACGTTGTTGTTGCTATCTCAAGGCCGCGATGCTCTCCTATGTATACAGGCGTTCCATCTCGCTGCCGAGGATAATGCCTATAGGCTATACTGCTCTAACGCGCTCTTGGAACTCGTGCGCCAGGATGTGTAATCTCTCTTTCTCTGTGTCTCCCATTTGATTGGCCAGTGTGTCAGGAAGCACCGCCTCTTTTTTTTTTTTTCTAGAATGTGACTCGTGCTTAGATGTTTTTTTTGGGGGGGGGGGGGAAATTGGGAAAATTGAAGTACTGCGAGATTGTACGAAATGAAATAAATACCGAGAGGGTGGCGTAAAATTTTGCCTAGGAAAAAAAACTATTGTTTTTTATCAGATGTGGTGATGAGAAAATAAAGAGCTTTGAGAAATCGGACGTATGTGTAACGATTTTCAAAGACGCGCACTTGCCGAAAATTGTTGTGCATCGAAACTTGGGTCAGTAAACGCGAGGTGTCGACGCATCTCTTATCCTAACGATTGCTAAGCAAAATTGGTTGATGCTTATCATTTTGTCGTTTACCTAATAAGGGTTTTCTGATTTTTCTCAAGCGAGACTTTTTTTTTTTTTAACATGCGAGGAGAAAGCACGAGAGAGGAGACAAAAGTACCTTCTTGGAGGCTGTACTCTCTCTTCCTCCTTCCTCGCTCGCCACCCACTTGCGTCGTTACTTTATATATACATATACAGAGGTACGGTATCTCACGAAAACGCTTACTGTCTTTTCTCTCTTTTTTTTTTTCGACTTACTGACGTCGTCGTTAATCTCCGCGACGATCCTTTAGTGCAGCTGTAAACGTTGAAAAGGAGCCCACGTGTCATGAAATACAATTATGCATATATTTCAAAATGAATTTATTTGTGTTTGGTATTTTTCATTAATTTTCAGTATAATAATTTACATGATGTTGCATACATTCATCTATGTTAGACTAAATGTGTGACTGTTTGTCGTACAACTATACTGTATTATTATTATCTACATTTATTTATTTTTACTTCATCTCACTTTATTTTTTTTCTCTCTCTCTCTCACTCTGTAATTTTCATCTTTTGCTTCTCGATGTGTAATTGATTGTGTTTTTTCTCGTTTTCAGGTGATCCTATGATTACATCGTCACTAAAGGGTAAGTTGCCACTATCTCTTATCTACCGCGATTTTACTTACTCTCTCTCTCTACTTGCATATTTTTTGCACATGACTCTATATTATTTTTTTTTCTTTTCCAACCTTTGGATGTTCTTTTTTTTTATATAAACTACTTATTCTACATTAGTGCACGTTTATTGTAAACTATATGGTACACACGTTTTGATAAACAGAACGCAACGAGCACCCGTTTACGGCGCAATAAAACAAAAATAACCAGCGAGCCGATAAGGCTAAGTGTTGGAATTGATAAACATATAAACTATCCGCGAGAGTAACGCGACAAACTCGCAATTTGATATTCAGGTGGAAAAATTATAACTTGAACGAGAGCGGGAATCACTCCAATTTTACCGACTGAAAAAACATGTTTAGTCGATCGAGAGGTCAATCGGTATCGACGAAGACACAAGCAGCCCGCAAGTATGGAGATTCGCGATAAATAGCGAAAGTCATTAGACGATCGGTCTAGCGATGAGAAGCGATTTATCACGCGTATCGCTGTGTAGGCGCGCCAATATGCCAAACCACAGCAATGAATAATCCACGTGTCCAAATAACCAAGAAAATTCTCACCGCAAATCGAGGAAACCCGCTTTTCCGCCGAAAGCTCTGGAAGCACATGCCTGCCCGACGGCTGACGACTTTAATTGCTTCCGCCTGTTATTGCTTACACATATACTTGGCGCTACTCATTGTACCCACCAAGCGTATAATGTACCCTTCACCTAATATATTACGTACACAAAGGAGATGCATGAATGGCTATGTAGCAGTTCGATCTATCTGCAGTGCAAACGCGCGTTTAATTATTTTCCACGCTTCAAAAATTATGGGGAAAGCACACGGACGGGGATAGTATGTATAGGTACATAAACCGCAGTGGTCGCGTGCGACGGGGAAAGGATAGCCAATGTCGGGCGATACGTCTACAAGTAGCTGCTCCGGACATTCATTAGCCGTGAGATGCGAGACTTATTTTATATACATCGATGGTCTGTTCTCGACGTTTGTTTGCATGGTACTTTGCTTATATACTACGCGTGTACCTATACGTGCGTTTTTCGGACCGAAATTTTGTATATACGCACACGAGAGCGATGGGTAGCAATTTTTTAGCAATGTCCTGCTGGGGGAAAAAAATCACTGTAAACAAGCGCGGTGTATGACGATACGAAAACACGAGAGAAAGACAGATGGCCTTGTGACGTTACGTCCCGTCCAGTCTTTTGCGTGTGCACACGATGGCCTCTCTGCACGTTACCGCCAGCCACACTGTGCTTCTCTCTTTCTGTACCTATGCTCTTCTTCCTTCGCCCAAGCAGGACATTAAGATAAAAATGAAGGCGCTTGTTTTCGGATACTGTACAGTTACTCCCGTCGATGCGGTGTTTCGCGACTGATTGTGCCATAGCGGAGGAACAAACCGGAGCCACTCCGCTTTCCACGGCGCCGGTGATTCGTCGCGATACCCATGGATTTAAATAAGGATCTGCGCGCATCCTTTTTATATGTCTATGTGCCAGCGAGTACGCTACAGGATACACTTTCGCCGCTGGTGCACCAACTTGGATATCTGCCGATCTGGTTTTTAGATAGTATATACGAGCGAATTTCGATCGCATATAGGGGAAAGTATATAGTTTAGTTTCGGGAGATCGCAATCGGGGCCGATCGATTAATTAGCAGTTGTGCGATTACCCCGCGGATCGGAGTCTCTTTTTTTTTTTTTCATTTTCGTGGAAATGTAACGCGTAATAGTGCTCAAGCTGTACGTTGCACACACATTTGTGTCGGGGGGAATGGAAAAACTCGCATGTGAAAAATAAGAGGTGGAATCGAGGCTCGCTTGGTTGCTCCCGCCTTATTGTTATTTCAGCTATTATCATCATTTTTATTCTCAAAGTCACGAGTCTTCGTGTTTGTGAGCATAGACACGTGTATACATACATATATATATATGTATACATATATAGGGTACAGAAAAAAGGTAACTACGTCCGCCGGAGGCGCACACAAAACGTCCGGCGGACATGTGTATTTTTTTCTTTTTTTTTTTCGCATCGAGGCAAACTTTGTCACTCGCTACGTTATTGTGGGAATACGTCATGGTGTGTATGATATTACTATTTATACATGGTTTTGGAGTTTAATAAAAATAACTTGTCGCAACGGTGAGTACAAACGAGTTTATATTCCATGCGGTAGTAGAGAGTGCATCGGACAAGTGTACATGCATGTGTATAATGTACATTTTCTATGTAAGTAAAAAAGAAAACGCTCGATATTATGGAGCCGAGATCCTTTACTGATAAAATATACACACATTTTTCAGCTCCATATGTAAAAGTATGTAGAAAATCACAACGGAAAATGAAATTCCGTCATTATCCATTTCCTCCATTTTTTTTTTTTTTTTTTTTTTTTTCTTTTGGTAACTATTTGTTTCATATATGGCACTGCGAAGGCAAAAAAAAGAAAAAAGAAAGGATTTTACCATCAGGGAGAAAAGTAAATCGCAATTAGTAGGCACCTGTTAACGAAATCCCAGTCAAATGACATTATGTCTATCCTGTCGTGGACAGCGATTATTCTCGTCCACGTCGGCGTGGTGCTCATTACCCCGTTAACGTCATAATACACCCAGCGACGCGCAAAACACGGAGCAGATTTCATAGGTACACGCACCGCATCGATCGTACATGCTCATGTTTTTCGAGAGAGAAAAAAAAGCGCGTACTTACCCACCGTAGACGCAAAAATCTCGCGGGGACACGATACGCCGGAGGCCACATTTCACTCGGCATCATTGCTCGTCTCGTTGGGCGCAAAGCAACGTACAAACGGATGATTTGTCCGAGACACTATGTGTATAGGTATACGAGACGTCTCGAGTTTCCTCCTTATATATATATATGTGTGTAGGGTATATAGGTAGTCGAGCTTGCGGCCTTTCGCTGTCCGTTCCCTTTACTCACGCTCCCGTAAGTATGTACGCATTATGTACAGCACCGGTTGAGATAACATATAGCAACGACAATCGCAAAAATAACAGCCACGATATAGCACAAACAATTATCGCGTATGGTCAAACATAGAGTTGGCAATAACGCTCGCGCGTATGTATATATATATATATATATATTACGGGCGTTTCGCGTGTGTTTACAAGGTCGAGGTATATGTACGAGTCTGCTGCTGACAAGTACGCGTGTGCTATTATTCCCTACTCGGACGGGCGCGCGAGGGGAAGAAGAAGAGAATATACCTGATGTTGTCTCGAGGGGTGCGTCCTGCCCAACAATGCAGTCGTTTAATCATTGTTGGATTAAAATAGGGGGGAGGTGTACGTATTACGTATTATTATTGTTATTGTTGTTATATTGAGACTGTCGCTTGAATTAGACTTCTGTTGTGCCGATACGCTACTTCGGATCTCCAATGGGTGAGTAAATAAACGCTCTGTGGAGATATTCGTCCCCTTCACCTTCCACTGCCTCTCCCGAGCGGGTTTTTGTCTTTCTCGAAAAATGGGGGGGGGGGGGAAGGACCTCCGTCAGAGGGACGGAAAGGCTAAACCGCACCGCTATAAACCTCTCCGCTACGCGCAACACGTAAAAATACACATTGTACGAGGATCGACGGAAACCTGAGATGTGTTCTTCCCTTGTGCTTGCGGGTGTGTGGGGCCCCCGCGAAAACCACATGAGATTATCCTGCCGAGGACACGCCGTCATTTGTTGTAGGGCGTGCATGAGCCATGAGAACCAAGTATACGCTGCCCCGTCCTTTCGATACAGATTAGCGAGCACGCGGATTATTTTGTTTCTTCTTCATTTCGCTTTGTTGCAACCTTTACCTTTTTTTTTTTTTTTTTTCCTTGTAGTTCGATACATCGGATGCTTTTTTTGTCTCCTTCTGCCGGTAGATTTCGAGCTTAAGCTTATTATATACTCGTGTGCGCGATGAGCTGCTGATGTTACTCAATGGGTGTACGGTTTAAGATCCGGCTTAGTGCTGGAAAAAAAAAATGAAATCGACGACGGGCGCAGGTGCGAGGGTGGAAAATCGGCAATTGAAGTTGCCACGATTCATCACACTTAAGTACACTTCATTTGGATTTTGTCACTCGCAAAATCGTATATTTTTATGTTTTTTCGCGTATCGATTATCTGTATCGGCGATCGACAGAGAAAATTGGTACTCGTAGCGCACCAGTTGCGCAACACTGGAGCTTCGTGTTCTAGCGAGTTTGTCGCATGTTTTTTTCGAGCCATACAATACCCGTACTTGACGGAAATTTGTGAATAAATTTCAATTTGATCCCGCGTTTACCGAAAAAAATAAAGAAACTTTAATCGCGAGATCTCGTCCAATCTCTGGGGCATGACTTTCGTTGAATCGGCAAACGTTTACCAATCAAAGTCACAGCGGAACCCGCAGCACACAAACGTCCATCGGCGTAAGAGACTTTTAAAAGACAGCAGCGGCAGCCGATCTTATATATTATACTGTCCGATTTTTTTTTTTTTTTTTTTTCAACGCGCAGGTACATATTTTTTAATTTCGACGTGTCCGCATCGTCGAGGGAAAAGAGTTTTACATCTCTGCTCGTCGGTTGCAAATTTCCGTGACTCTGATGCACACCCTTTTGAACGGCACAATTTACGCAACGGATGTAAAGTTTCTTTTTTCCAAAGGCCCGTAAACACATTCACTTGTTCGGTTTTAATGACGAATAGCATTAGTTACTCGCACACAATGTAATTTATCTCTATTTTTTGCGACGAGATTCACCCAATGAAACGAATAGAGTACACCTATACGGAGCCCACACTGTTATTGCTATTCGCGTGTACTTAACGATCGGTGCAAGCAACGCAAACGATGCAACAGCCGCCAAGCTGACGATCTTACAACACACGGAAAACACGAGACGAGGTAGGGGTTTATGAAAAAAAATTCGTTCATAATAGC